TATGCTCGAATTTTTATGGTAGAATAATTTACGGAAAAAGCATGTTAAAAATACTTAATATGCTGTATAAAAGTTTAAATATGTAATAATATGTGAAAAACTTTTAATCATGTATTATGCATGAATTCATTCAAAAAATCTCACCTAAAAATGTGCCCTAAAACATATTTATAAAGTTTGAGAGCCGTTCTAAATGTACACAAAATATGTATTCGCACAGGACTCCTATCTAGTTGATTTCACGTTTTTGTCGCCTCATTTACTAATTAATTCATATTAAATCATGTTTATTCTGCTTAGAGTTTCTAGTTTAACGAATGTCGCCATACACTATGTAAGTAAGTTATGCAATAACCGGTTAGTTGAAAATTTTTGTAACAGTACTGTTTTGTTCCTAAGGATATTTTGAAGAATAATTCCTTCGTCATAAGATATGTCCACTAAATAACAAATAATCGCCTATAACTGTACACTTTATTGAAAATAATCCGATGTTTTTCAAATTCCATTTAAGTCTGAAATAATGAAATGAACATGCTGCACTATTAGATCTATTTAACAAGCTGAAATGCCCAATAGACAGGAATAGGAATTAATTCGATCTTCAGTAGATTTCTGAAAAAGATATAAATAAAGCCATCTGCAAAGATCAATTAAAAATGGGAGAAGAAATTCGCAGTAAGGTTCTTCCGAAAATGGCCATTAAATCAAAGAAATTAGAGTTGTTGCATCATGGACGTTTTTGTCGGCTCGAGGGTAGCAGTGTGACTCCCACCCGAATTAAACAGGCGATGGCACGAGGCCAAGAAACGATCTACGCCGCACAGATTCGACGACGTTCGTGCATTATGTACATGTAATTTGACCTTTTCTTTATATACGAATACTCTTATGTTGGTTGTTAAAATAATTTTTTAAGATATGTTTTAGTGTAATTAATTGCCAATTTCTGTTTTCATTGTATGAAATTGTACCGAATTAAAAGCTATAAATTTTAGAATTAGCATTCGGAGGTGAGTCATTTCATGTGTAATATTGATGCCACAACGGCGCATATTTTCTTCCGATATTTCTAACTAATACAGCTCATAAAAACAGAACACTCATAAATACAGAAAGTTCAACAAAAATGAGAACTTCGCCATTTTTATGCACCCTTTACTCCATCCGGGAAAATGGGGAAACAAAGCCGGTTTTTGAGAAAAAAAATTATAAATTCCATTAACATAAAGAGAAATTAAAGGAAAATTACTCGTTTTCTTCGAAAAAGAGTATATGAAAGTTCATTTTTTTAATAGATTAATTTCAAAATAAAAATCTCTGTCATCAACATTGTATATTTGCAACCTTAATTTACTGCAATTTTCGAAAATACAGAGAGTTTGCAGGAAATGGCACCCGCGCTGCTTTATACCATCCGTTGCTAAGAAAAAATCTATCTTAAAAAGATTACACTTTGCTTTATTCGACAAAAAAATTTAATACAAATATTTGCAGTATTTAAAAAAATAGAATTTTTTTAGGTTTCATGTTAAGTCCTTCCAAAATACAGCACTTTGAATTCATTCAAATCAATAAGGCAATATCGGATATTTTGGAGAAAAAATAAGATCGGTTTAGACGCTAGCTTTGACCACAAACCCATTACAAACTCAAAACATTACTTTCTCTTCACGAAAAAGTAAAAATTGGGGTGAGATACCACAGCAGGCTGAAAAAGTGCAGAGAAATGGGCGAAAATGGTCGAATTTGAAGGAATTTATATCATCCAATTTTAACGCAAAATACAAATTTTAAAGGAATTGATTTTAAACGTAATAACGTTGGAGTACTGTCTCAGATTTTCCCCTAGAATG